ACTGCACATCAAAGATACCCCCATACATACTTCCCCAATACAGTTGTTTATTACATATATGTAATAAACAACTGTATTGGGGAAGTATTGAACTTCTATTGGAAAAACTAGTATTTACACTTTTAACTAATTCAATTGTCTTTTCACTAATTGCTATTATGTCAACACTTTTTACCGACAAAAGACACTTATTCCATCATTCCATGGGTCTTAACAAAAAAAGTAACTTTAAAAAAGAAAATTCCCTAAAGTGGTCAGAAAGAATAGTTGAATGATGAATGTTGACCGAGTTAACTGAACGCACTTAAGGCAGCTCGAGTTAACTCGAGCTGCCTTAAGTGCGTTCAGTTCATAATGCGATGTGCTTACTACATTATTTGCTGTGCCCATTGCATTAGACGATGTGGAGACTACCATGTGCATACTACATTATATGATGTGCTCCCTCTACATTATGTGATGCGTTCATTACATTATAAGCTGTGCTCATTGTATTATATGATGTGCTTGTTACATTATATGATACGAAAATGATTTATATGATGAACTTACTATATTATGTGGTCATTACATGATGCGGTCATTATATGATGTGCTACTGCCCTATACAAAGGGCTACTACATTATGTGGTATGCTCACTAAATTTTATGATGGCTCATTGCTTTATATTAGTGTTGCTATCAACTTCGACTAAATTGACTAAAATTTGATAAGTCGAAAGTTGAATATAGTTAACTGTGAAAAGTCTAATAGTCGATTTAACGGACATCCTAAAACTTAAATTGACTAAAATTCGACTTAGTTGAGTAAAAATCTCAAAATTCAAATACTTTTTTCATTTAACTTTTCGATTAACTTAAATTTTCAACCTTTAATTTTTGTTTGTTTATATAATAACGATAGCATATACTAATATAATTATTAGCTTATATTTTGTTTACTCAAAAAATAAGATAATAGAGTATCTAATAGCTTATTTTTTTAATTTTTTTTATTATAGTAAATCCTAGAGTCCTCAAAAAATGTGCAAAGAGTTTTGCGATTTCATTAACAATAATCTATCCTCTTTCACTGAAAAGCGGTGAAATTCTTGATATGTGGAAAATATATTTTCCCAATTTTTAAAATATTTTCCCAATTTTTGGGAAAATTACATTTAATTATATTTTTCAAATTTTTAAAAAAGATAGCAAATTTGATGCTTTAAATTACAAAGGGTTTTCGTTAACATCTATTGTAAGTAAAATTATAGAAAACCTTATACGTAAAACAATTATGAAATACTGTAAGGAAAACAATATTATCTCAATATCTAAACACGGTTTCATCTTGAAAAAAAGGATGTGTTACCAATTTACTTAAAGCTTTGGACATTGTTACAAAAGCCATACAAAACAATTATTGAGTTGACATAGAGTACACTGACTTGGAGAAAGAGCTTGATAAAACGCCCCATCACCAACTCATTCATAAAATAAAAGCATATGACATACAAAGTCAATTGATTGCATGGATCGAAGCGTGACTTAGAAACAGAAAACAAAGAGTAGTATTGGATGATTCTATATCTAAGTATACCCTCTTTTATTTGTTCTTTATGTCAATGATTTACCTAACCATACACACCATTCTATAAAACTCTATGCTGACGGTAGTAAGATAATCGGAGTTAATAAGACGCCAGAAGATGCTAATCTACTACAAAAAGATATTGATAATTCAGTCCTATGGTGTAAAAAATGGCATCTAAAATTAAATTTAAAAAAATGCAAAGTCATGCAATTTAACTTTAGTAAAACGAAGTCTAACGCAAAATATTTTATATCAGGATACAGTGACCACGGACAACAACAAAAAGTTGAATTAACCTCTTTAAAAAGAGATCTTTGAGTTTTGATTTCCGATGACCTTAAACAAAAAAATCAAGTCAAAGCAGCTGCTACAAAAGCAAATCGAGTACTTAGTCCTCTAAAAAAATATTCTTTATACTACCTACGTCCGCCCACACATTGAGTTTGCTACACAAGCTTGGTGAGCCTATTTAAAAAGGATAAAAGAGCGCAATCAAAAAAGAGCAACAAAAAGAACAAGAGCTGATCTTATTCAATATTTAAAGTTTATCCATGGTTTTGATCTCATCACTTGGCAAAATGTACTAGTACCAGCTTGCTCACTTAGAATCGACGGTCCAGCGGGTCACACCCGAGGCCATAGAGAAAGATTAATGTGTGCTTTTGCGGCCGGAAATCCACAGCGACAAAATTTCTTTACACATAGAGTTGCTAAAATGTGGAGATAAACGCTAAAACAATTAAAAATTTTAAGTTTGTAGTTGACTGTTATTTCATCAAAAGTGGCATTAACTAATGCATGTCGAAAAAGGTTTTTCGACATGCATTAGTTAATGCCACTTTTGATGTTAATATTTGATGTTAATATTTGATGTTAATAATTAGTTAATATTTCGACATGCATTAGTTAATTTTTTTAACGAGCAAGTCGCTTGCTCGTTAAATGTCGAAAAAAGTAAATATATTCTTTTTACAAAATTAATAAAGTCTGAAACCCTACCCTTAAAACTACCCTTAAAACTTACTAATTGATAAAATTAAACTTAAACAAGAATACTCAATCAAGTTTTAGACGTAATTCTTAATGAACATATTATCTGGAGTAATCATATCAAAGTAATATAAAATAAAATATCTAAAATCATTGGTATTATGTATAAAACAAAACATCTCCTGAACACAATTGTTTAAAAAATATTTATTTTGCTTTTATTCATAGCTACATCAGCTACTGCAACATTATCTGGGCAAGTACTTATCCTTCAAAGTTAAATACGATCTACAAAATATAAAAACAAGCAAGTCGCTTGATATTAAATGCAAATAAATACGCTAGTGCCAGACCTCTACTAAGAGAAATTAGAATGCCTAATGTCAATGAAATAAATATACCTAATATACTTATTTTTATGTTTAAGTTTAAAAATGACATGCTACCAAGCATTTTCGAAACTTATTTTTTTTCTTTAAACGATAAATACAAAACTAAATACTCAATAAATAACTTTATTATACCAAAAACATTATCTAAACAAGCTAATTTTTTGATATCTCGCCGAGGGTCGGTTTTATTATTTTGGAACTTGCTTTTAAGAAAAGTAATATAAAAACTTTAAATTCAGCTTATTTTAAACGTACAACAAACCAATACTTATTTCAAAGCAATTACTATCCTATTATTAAAATCTTTTTATATTCTTAGTTATTTAATGTCTTATAAATTGACGCAACGTCTTAATTATATTGTATGGTACTTAGAACATGTATGATATTATTTTATTTTACAATAATAACGCAATTTGTAAATGCACTATTTATTATATCTTACTTAATTTGTAGATATATAACAGATTTATTTGGTTTTGTATGTCTATATAAACGGACATATATTCGTGTGTACGTGTGCGTGTGTGTGTGGGTGTGTGCGTGCGTGTATAATAAAAATAAAAGTAGAATAAAATTAAAAAAATAAAATGAAGAAATAATTAATTTTTTTTCTTATTTTCTGTAAATAATTGATTGTTAAATCAGTTATGGCTTTAGTTTCTTTTTTCTTTTTTCATTTTTATCGGCTGAATTTTTTAGTCATATTTACGGGGCTGGATTACGGGGCCAGCTCCCGTCGAAACTTTAATGTTATATTTTATGTTGTAAAAACATTGTAAAAGATTATTTTTTAATGACGAAATACAAATTAAATATATATATATATATATATATATATATATATATATATATATATATATATATATATATATATATATATATATATATATATATATATATATATAATTATTTATTTTGTAAGAACTATTAGCAGAGTGCAGTACAAGTATAGCAACACAGTTTGGCTCAGTGGTGCTGGATTCGGGGCAGTGTGATGCTTGTTTGGCAATCCAATAAGTTCCTTATAATATTTATAGAGAGACTTATGTATATCTAGAATATTATACATATCGTGTATTATATATACGATATGCAAAATACGAATTAATAGTGATTAACATAGTAAATTAGTAGTAGAAATCATTGTAAAATAAAAGTGAACAAATTGCGGAAAAGGCGCCGCGCAATTGGAGTTCGGGGTTGAGGTCATCATAATGGTAGAAAGTTGTGGTATGTGACAAACCTTCATCTCGTCAGGGCCATGTCCGAATGTCTAAGCTTGTTTCAAAGAAGTTAAAGTACTAAAACAACGCATTGGCCTACAGCTTAGTTACCACGTGAGGTTATGTAATGAACTCATACCCGAGGAGTCTCCCATTTTGTCTGTTGTGTGTATCGAGTATTATAAGGTCATACAGAATAGTGTAGTTCATTATAATATGTTTTCACGCAATTATATGGTATTGTGAGAGTTGATTCAGAATCTTAGGGGGGTTAGGTACCGGAGGATCAGTTTGAGCATAGAAATATGAAAACACGCATATACGCATACAAGAACACAATTCTACATACACATATATACAGATCTAACAATAAAAAATGTACACATACACGTATATGCATATGCGCACACAAATATGCAAACATGCACATACAAATAAAAATATACCTGTGTGAGTACCACTATGCATAAAACAGATAAATCAGATTAAGGAGTGAAATAGAGGGGGGTTTGGCACAAGAAGATGGATCCAAATATAAATGTATTTACACATGTATATGCATATACAAATATATCTGCATGAATATTACCATGAATAAAACAGAGGTCTATACATACATTTATATATGCAATTGTCAGGGTAATAGGGTAGGGTGTGAAAAGGTAAAACCATATACAGATGTATGCATATATGTATGCAAACACATATAAATGAAATTCACAAACAAAGTACATACATATATAAACATACAATTTCCAGATAGTCCGGTTTTCAGGTTTTTAGGGTATTTTCAGTGTAAAGGTTTGTACAAAATCCTACCGTTTCTAGTATTTGGTTGTCGCTTAGTTCTTCATCTTTGCTTCATCATGCGTTCTATCTCCTTTTTTGTCTTTAAGTGCCAAGGTGGTACTTCTAATTCTAGTTTATTTTCATTCACGAAAACGTCGTGATTTAGGAACACGTCTTGTGTAAGGAATATGTCTTTTGGTGTGTTTGGACTCTATAATAAATTTTTAATGTATATAATGTGTGAGAATGGTGTTTTCAATAGTGAACTATAGTGGCGTGTGATGGTAAGGTGAGTGCTGCATTATAGTGGGGTGGTGATGGTATGGTTTAATAAGTACGTAAATGTGATAAAGGAAATGTGTTTCTTACCGTTTTGCTTGGTGTTGTAGTAAGGTATATATTTATTTAATTATTCAATGCCATTGTTGTTGTTGTCGTTGATGTGGATTTTTTTGTTAAATAATCACGAAAAAATATTTCTGAATGCCAATGTAGTTTTTTCTTTGCTTGTTAGTAGATATCTGATAGTAACAAAATGTGGGCATATGAAAATGTAAAATTTCTGTTATTAGAAATTCCATTGTTCTATCGTAGTAAGTTTTCAATAGTCTATTGTTCTATTTACGTATCAGAGGTTCTTTTGTCTCCGCAAAAAGAGCTCTCAAGATGTTTTTCTATCGTTTTCCACGGAAGTTATTTTTGGTTATTGTTAGCGGTTTTATTTTAGGCCAAGTATTTAAATTGGCTGTCTCTGTTATCGAATGTCTTTGTGGGTATTTTTAGAGCAGCTGTTCTAAGGGGGATTTAGAAGATGTTGTTCTATAATATTGCAATTTTAATATAATTAGTTGCGTGTGGGTATTTGTTTAACATGTTTGTGATAGTTATTGATAATTAGGGTTTGGGATTTTTTCTTTTTTTTTTCTTTTTTTTGTTTTGTTTACATTTGACGTAATATATATAAATTACATATTTTTCAAATACAAACAAGGCTTCTAAAAGAAGATAACAATGATCTTATTGTCAGAAGCCTTTTACAAAAGAGAGATTACGTAAAGTATTATAAAAACGCCTTTTTACAATAAGAGTACGTAAAAAATTATGTAAAAACAATAAATCGTATTTACATAAATGAAAATAAATTGTTAACAAGTATAAAACAAAACTTGAACATACATGACAATAAAAATTATTATTTTGTTTTTTATCACAAGATAAGTTGAAAATATTCTAAGATATTTTCAATATTTAGAATGAGGTCTTTGGGGTAAGTCAAAGTTAGGCAAAATAATTTTGTTCTAGAGATGAGCTGCACGATAAGTGATACAAAATTGATTGAATTTTTGTTCGACAGAATCGTTCATTTAAATAATTATTATTCCTCATGTTAAACTTGCTTAATGATTTCAAAATAAAAAGATTTTTAAAAGTTAAAGGAGATAAATCATGCTTCCACATACAGACATTTGATTAAAATTGAGGAATGTTCTCAGCCACACCGTTGGGAGGCCTATAGCAACAGCCCAGTAAAATATTTTTAGATTGATTGTTAAGAATTTCAATAGCTAAAATTTCTTTGTCGCGATCAGAATCACTTAAATCATTCCTAACATAATGTACAATACTTTTCTTTACATAAACAAGAACTTCTCCACCGCGTTTATTAATAAGTCTCTTTTGAGAAATTAACTCAAAGTAAGGATTACTTTGAGTTAATTTCTCGTTTTTGAATTGGTTTCTTGTATCAAATTGAGAAGATTTTTTAAATTGCGGTTTAGGCTTCTGATGTTTATATGAAGAATTCTTAGTTGATCAAAATTATTGTTTTTTGTATTTTTATAAGAAAATCCTTCTAATTTGTTAGGATAATAATATGAACAATCCACAATAATGTCATTGAAATAATTAATAACTGGATCTAAGTTTTTATCAGATGAGAAGTGTCTCATTTCTGAAAAATTAAAAGTAAACGATTTAAAGTAGTTTGTTTTAGACATTTTGATTAAGTTATAAATTAGATTAAAAAAAATGGTCTTTTATGACCTGTTCAAAAAAAAGAATCAAATTTGAGAAAAGCGTGTTTACCTTCTTTTCTCAATTTAACTACTTCATCCCCGAGTTTTTTACGCTTTTCTATTGTTTCCTTTGCTAAGTCTTTGTTTACGAACACACCTGTTCCGCGTAGTTTTTTTGAGTTTTGTAGAATTAACTTTTTGTCGTTGAAATTTAAAAGTTTTATGATAATCGTTCGCTCTTTAACTTTTTTATAATGGACCTGACCTGTGTGCTCTTTTGATAATAATGTCTTTGATTTTAAGATTATTGGAAAAAATACCCGTAACTGTTTTTTCACACTCATCCCATGTTTCGCCTTGAATTTCCTTGACACCATCAATTCTAAGATTGTTTAGCCTTGAACGATTTTCTAGATCTATTAGTTTTTCATTTATTATATTCAGGAGCGGATCTAAACTGTTGCAATTGAAGCAATTGCTACAGTCAGCTTAGTTTTGTTTTCTATTTTTATTTGTTACAAGCATATTTTTTTTCATTCAAAAAGTAAAAATATTTTAAATAAGATATGGAGGTTACAAGTAGTCAAATTGCAACGCTTCAAAAATTTATTCCTAACTAAGCCAAGTTGACTATGTTACGGAAATATTTCATTCGGAAAAATAAAATGCTTCGCTGAAAAACCCATGTTTTTAACGGGTTTTGTCTCACATGTCCATAAATTTCGAAAGAATGTTAAACCATAGTTAATAGACTTATTAACTATGTTAAACTATAGTTAATAGACTTATTAATCTATTAACTATGGTTAAACATTTCGGAGCGTATCAATATAAATTGAACTGGTAGTTGATTAAAATGTCAAATCGGTAGGCTCTTTTGTCAAACCGACGTTATTCCGACGTTGAGCGTCCTTTGCGTCCGCGAGCTTGTGTTTCTAGAAAATAGGCGAAATGGGATATTTAGTGATTTGCGCTGCGGTGTGCACATACACCGACTGATTTTTAGAGTGAACATGCAGCGGAGTGTGGAAACAACGACTGAGGGTTTGGAGTAGGCAGGCTCTCTTTTAAATAAAAAAGTCGTTTTTTTACATTTTCGGACCTTGAGGACAGCGTCGGAATAACGGTTTAACAAGAGGGCCTACCTGTCAAATTGACTGTAGCAACTGCAGCAAAAGTCAATTTGTCATATTTTGAAACATCTCTATACATACCCCCGATAATTTATTATGCATTTAGGCTATTTAGCTGCAATCTTTTTATAAACAAGGAGATCTAACGTAGTGACGAAAAGTCATCAAACGAGAACCTGTTGTAAAAAAAAAAAAAAATGTGTTGGAAAAACTCATCTTCTGTTAAATATCCACTCACCGTTTATAAAACTTTTTTTAATGAAGTGGATAGCAATCATTCAATGAAAAGATTTTATAATTATAAGGACTAAATTAAATAGCAGCGTCTATTGGTTTCTTTATGTGTCTAATATGAAAATGGTAAAATTTGTTTATGTTTATGAAATGGTGAAATGTGTTTATTGCTGTTCTTCGAGTTACTTTTCATTGAAGAAGTCAAATGATTTAAAAACGTTTTAAAATATTTTTTGATTTCCCAGAGTAGTAGAGGCAAAGTAAAACGTTTTAACGTTTTTAACGTTTTAACGTTTTAAAATATTTTTTTAAAACGTTTTAACGTTTTAAAATATCTTTTGATTTCCCAGAGGCAAATATATATATATATATATATATATATATATATATATATATATATATATATATATATAATATATATATATATATATATATATTCATTGTGAGAGAGAAAAAATCTTTAAAATTTTTTGATTTTATTCCAAATATATATATATATATATATATATATATATATATACCATTATGGTATGGGGGCAAACAAAGCGCTTGAAAATGGAGAAATGTGTTTTTAATTGTTCAATTAATGTTAATAGTCATCCGAACTTGATTTTTTATATTTTGCTTCCTGATCCAAAGAGAAGAAAATCGTGGCTTTATGCTTTATATAGAATTGATTCATCTTGCAAAAACAAACTTTGGTTGCAAAACATGTCTAAGTATGCTCAAAACATTTTGTATCTGGTAAGTTTTGTATTTGAATCGTCAAATTATTTGGCCACAAATTTTTCTTGAACTTATTAAGTTTTTTTCATTTTTATTCATTGTAAGTATGTTTCTCTTTTAGGAAAAAAAAGAACATAGTCTAGATGCTTTTCAAAATTTTGAAAAGCATGTTGACTGTGTTCCATTTTCTTTAGAAGAGTTTCTGCTGTTGTCACTGGTTTTAGAGAGTACCTTCGTGAATGAAGATAAAAAGTCATTTATGTTATTTTTTAAAAGCTAAGACATAATATTGTTAATCCTCATACCATTTACTAAAAAACTTTATAAATATTGTTACGATGTTATAATTCAAATTGTTGTAATTAGTAATTTTGATCATTTCATTATTATACTGTAAAAAATGTTTTTTATTTATAACATTTATTTCACATATATTAAAAATATGAGGAATAAATATTACACTGAGGAAAATTTTAAGCAAAATATAGAATTTTTAAATGTTATTAGAATATCAATATGTAATATTTTTGTTTTATTTATTGACTACATCTGTAAACTGTGCAATAATTTCAAAATGATAAATTAATTAGATTCCATGATTCCTTTAAGCATTTGCACAGATTTATTTCAATATAACGCTAAATTTTGTTCTGGTAACGTTCAGCAGCTTTTTTAGATAACTTTTCTTGATAATCATAAAACATTTTCAAGGCGATTAAGTAATGTTGTACAGAAATCAGCGCGTTTGTTTGCCCCCATATCATAATGGTAGGGTAGGTGCAAGTTTCCATACCGCAAAGTCAGGTGGTGTCTTAGAGTCCGCAAAACTTGTAAATCTATTTCGCATAATTATTTTTTACATGAATAATTATTTTTTTGTTGGTATAATTAAATTTATTAATAATTTTGGCCATGCTTTCTTGTTTGTTTTATATAGCCGAAAGGATTATATTAACTTGAAGGATTAAGTAGAAAATAATAACTGTAAAATGGATAATATTTCTTTTTCATATGATAAGATATCGGGAGACGATAAGAGTTTAAGTTTGTTACAAGAATCTAATCTCATTAATGGTAATTTGATAATTTTATGGTATTATATAATTTTTAATATATATTATATAATTTTATGTATTTTGTGGATTTGTTATTTTTCCAAAATTGATAATTTTATTTTTATTATTTTGAGTTATTAAAGTAATTATTAGTATATGATATTTTTAGAAGGAAAGTGGATATGTGCAGAATCATACGAGGAAATACTCGCTTTAATTCAAAACTATGAAACAGAAACTGTGTCAAAGTTTTCATGCTATTCTGCTGACAAAAACTTTGGTAATATAGGTAAGAAAAAGTTTGTCAGTTGCCAAGATATTGCTCACATTGTTTTTTTTTTTTGTGATATTTATAGGTTTCTTTATACAAATCTAACTAAAAATTAAAACAAAATAGTTCTTCCTGTAGTATTAAGCAAAACGAGTAATAAATAACTTTATTAAAAAATCAAGTAAATATCCTGTTTATCCTGTTTTTAAATATGTTTTTTTTTTATATGTTTAAAGAAGCTTCTGTCAAACACCATAAAATAAGATGGGAGGACGACTCTGTACCTTTTAATGGTGTTCCATTCGTGATTGTAGGAAGTAAAGTCTTTGACTGTATGCATGGAAGAGATAGAAAAGTATCTTTTAAAGAAGAATATAAAATGCGTTGCAATGATAGAAAGGTATCTTGAATGTGCAATATTTACTTATATTTAAATAATTATATAAGGTATATCATATACTTATTTATAGTTATATATTATATAAGTATATCATAAATTTGAAAACTTTAATGATTCAATTATAGATAAAATACATGTTTATACACTCTATTTAGTAGTGTATATTTGTTTATACAATATACACTAAATGTTTATAACAATAATAATAGGTATCTGATCACAGTTACTTTAAAAGCTATGAAATGATCCAGGACACAAAGAAATTTAATTGTAGTTCACAAATAAAGATCAAAGAAGTTTTAAAATTTCCAGATTTTAAGGTTTTATTTCTTTTAAATTATATTAGTTTTATTTAATTTAGAAAATAATAAATTAACATTAATAAATATTTGAATAATAAATGTTAGTAAAAGGGTTCCTAATTCCCTTGCCTATAATATTATATTGCTTAATGATTCAAAAGAATCTTTTTTTTTTTTCTTTCTAAAAAATATTAAATAGCTTTTTGAAAAAATACTAGTTTACGTTAGTGAATTTTTTTAAAGTGCAATATCTCTTTAGATAATAGAAGATAGTAAATGGAAAAGAGTAACCTCCTCCAAAAAAATTCGAGAAGCAATTTCAAAAAATGAAGCAGTGGGACAAAAAATATTTTTAATTTTTCTTCCATCAATGAGTTCTCACACTGGACACTTTACTGGAAATGTAAATAATTTTTATAACATCTGATTTTACCAATAACTAATTTTAATCACAAGTTGTATAAAATTATATTGATATATTTACAATTGATTTTTATTTCCTTTATTTCAGTGTTAAAGTCAAGTGTTGATGTTTTAATTTCTTTATTACTTACTTACTTTATATCTTAATCATTTTTCTGTTAAAATTTCTTTTTTTTTTAATTATAGGCACTCAACAAGTGACTATTCCCTTTATTTAATTTTTTTTTTCTATTGAAACTAACCACCCTTTAAACTATCTTCAGATTTTTACATTTTTTGTTTAAATTTTCTGATGATTCTTTTTTTTTTTTTTTTCAAGGCTGCTGGTATATCCCAGCCAATTGATGCAAGATTAAAAGAAGAAATATTTACATCGTCTGAATTTATAACTAGTGTTGATGAAATGCGTAGGAGATTAGAAATCATTGTGACAAGAGAAATTTTTAAAAATAGTATATGTCTATCTAAATCAAATAAAAGGTTCTTCCCATCCAAAAAAACTATTCGTTCTTACATGTTGGAAGCAATAAGAAAGAAAAGGTATTCAAATATTGACCAAGAATGTCTTATAAAAAAAGTAGAACAATGGAAAGTTGAAAATCCTCACAGAAAATTTTACCTTCGACCTAAAGGGATAAGTGAAAATTGTATGTATTTAGTATTTTACTGTAATCTCTCTTTACTTAACTTCAATTTTCACCAAGATATACAAATTAAATGTGTATATATATTTTTCCCTTGTGTTCCTTGTGCATGTTTAAATAATAAAACACTATATTTATTTTAAACACTATATTTAAAAAAGAAGCTTTTATAGATTTTTTTTGTTGTGCAGATTAGGGTGAATACTTAAAAAAAATTCAAATGCGCTATACAAATAACTGTTCTTTTATTTTGATAACATTTTATTTTCTACAAAAAAAAATGTATTTAAAATAAGGCTCCCAGATACTAACTGTTTCTTTTTTTTTTTTTTTTTTTTAAATACAATATTTTATTTTCATGAATAATGTGTGAATATACACATTATTCATGAAAATAAAGGATTGTATTTCATGAATAGTAGTTACATGTTTATAATTGTTTAATACATGTTTAAAATTGTATAAGACTACTGTAGAACCTTGTTTATGCTTTTCATTAAATTAAAGTCTCAATTATAAATTATTGCATTACATTTCAAAATTTGAAATAATTGTTAATTTCAAAAAATCAGACTTCTAAATCTAGCACTAATTTTTTAACGAAACTTAAAAAAAAAAAAGAATTTTTCATATTTTTTTTATATTTATTTTCATAGGGTTTATTATTTTTTAAGTTTGGTTTCTAATAAGACCCAAGTTAACATAAATTTAAAAAATATTTTTTTTATATATAACATTTAACAAATCTAATTTTTAAGACTCTTGTTCAAGTAATGAAGCAACCCTTAAAAAAAAATTAATTTAAATTTTTTTTTAATTTAGTATTAATTTATTACATAGAATACATTTTGGGGTACCAGCAGACAATTTCAATAAATGATGTTTTATGAGCCAACCTAAGATAGATATATATATATATATATATATATATATATATATATATATATATATATATATATATATATATATATATATATATATATATACATATATATATATATGTATAAATATTTATCCCTCATAATTAGGGTCGGCAATGCCTACCTAACTGCTGACCTGAAAGTGTTTTAGGTTGGCAAAAAATAGCCGACCTCGTTTCAAATGGTCAGACCTTTGTATTAAATAATTTTTACCGACCTGATAAAAATTATTTGATACAAAGACCTGACCTCTAAAAGATTGAGAAAAATTGAGTGATTAGACTAACAGTTTTTTTCTATGATGCAAAAATGCTTAAAAAGTGTTCATAGTCATCCTGATTGACAATAACTTACAAGGTTGCAACATGTTGCAAACTTATTGATTACATGTTGTAAGCTTGTGCAAAGTAGTTTGCAACATTTATATTGTCTTACTAACTTTAAATAACTCAATTGTCATAATAATTTTTATAGTAATTTTTTTTAGTCAAAAATATTGTGAACATGTTTTTAATTTAATGCAATTAATTAACATCATTTATAGTTGATGGAGTCCCCTTTTGCACTACGGGTAAAATGTGCTAGTAGACTTGTAGTAAAACATTTGCATTGCAATCAGAAGCTAGGGGTTCAAATTACCTCAATCTATTTCTCCGCACAACGCCTTTTATAAAAATTTTAGTTGTTAATGCTGTTTGTTAGTAAAAATGGTAATGATTGAGACAAAATATTTTTTAAAAAATGAGTTGCTCCCTTGACTGAAGTGGTCATTGGAGCAAATCGGGAGGTGAATTTATGAAATTAAAAAAAAAATTATTGTACTCAAACAATTATAAAAATTTGGTATTTTGATCGGTTTTTAAAAAAACCCATTTGGGTAAGGTTTTCTTTTAAAAACCATGTGTTTTTTCCAACCCTGTCATATAGCCTGACTCGCAAGGGAGTGTTGCTACATTGACTGAAGATTTGGTTAGGGTCAGCATCAAGTGTATAGGGTTAGGGTTAGAACAAGGTTTAAATATGGTTTGGTTACTGTAATTAATTGATTTTGTAAATAGATTGAAATAATCTGAAATATAATACATAATAAATAGATAAAAATTTCAAAAATAAATATAACAAATATATTTCATAATAAATTTAAATATATAACAATTAAAATAAAATAAAAATTTCAAAGTATATATAAATATGATAAAAATCATAAAAAAAAGTAAAAAACAATAAATATAACGAGAACAAAAAAAACATATCCCCATAAACGCCGACTAGGAGTATATATATTACATATATATATATATATATATATATATATATATATATATATATATATATATATATATATATATATATATATATATATATATATATATATATATATATATAAAATATATATATATATATATATATATATATATATATATATATATATATATATATATATATATATATATATATATATATATATATATATTCATGCATGCACATACATTTAAATAAACATATTTATATATATAGATGCAGTCAAAGTTGAATGCTCA